AGTACCTATGTAGTAAGAGAGAGAAAAAAAATAAAAGGAATAAAAGAGGGGTAATTCATAATTCTTACAGAATAACTTGAATTTTTGCATTTTATGCGAGACTTTAGTTGCACGATAGCTGTCTTTCATATAGCCAGTTACAATCCTGAAGCTTGAAAAGTGGCAGTTTCAATTTTTTTAGATGTGTGGGACGACTATTGTAATGAGTGTAGATAAAACAAACTAAACGATCTCTCAAACAGACCAGTTTTCACAATATTCAAATCATCTAGAGGAACAATTCGTTCAGGCCAGTTTCAACTCCCTACAGTGTAAATTAATGCACTGACACTTATCAGGAAACAACTACTCCCCTGGCTAATACCAAGAAGGGCGTTGGATTACATCCGACAGGTGTCAGTGCAGGATTCTTCACAAAAGTTATTCCGGAATATACTGTTGTCGATACAACTGCCGCAATAGATTTTCAATTATTGGAACACACTTGCAGACCGGTTTAGGGCTGTATGGCCACTCGTCAGTACAAAGTAGTGCCTATCATTAACATAAAGTCGATGATTGCCGATAATTGAAAATCGAATTCCTTCAGAGTATCATTCCTCGAACTAGGCTGAAGTCGACAAAAAACGACCGGTTTGTCATAGCCCCATCTGCCTGTGAAGGAGGTAACCAACCGCAATTCCTCGAGGAATTGGTCAAATTTCGGATATGCGGTCGGTTATCTCGTTCACAGGCAAATGGAGCGATGACAAACCTGTTGTTTGTTGTCCGCTTCAGCCTAGTTCGAGGAATGATACTCTGAAGGAATTCGATTTTCAATTATCGGAAATCATCGACTTTATGTCGATGATTTCCGATGTTTGGCCACTCGTCAGAGCACGAGTGGCCAAACAGCCCAAAACCGGTCTGCAAGTGTGTTCCACTTGCAGATCTATTGCGGTAGTTCTATCGCCAACAGCATATGCAGGAATAACTTCTGTGAAGAATCCTGTACTGACACCTGTCGGATATAATCCAACGCCGTTCGTGGTATTAGCCAGGGGAGTATTTGTTTTCTGATAGGTGTCAGTCCATTAAAACAGAAACCAGAAGTATACTGGTTTCTGTTGCTAAGATAATTTTGAAATCATGTATGTACTATTTCTCTAATGCCAATTAAGTCCAACGTTTGCAAATCTCCATTTTTAAATGAAGGTGAAATTTTTGTTATTTTACACAATTCAGGAAATATACCTGTTTCAAAAGATGTAATAGTTTGCTGCTTGACTTTCAAGCTTGCTTAGATGACTTCTTATTCTGTCAGTTAGTAATAATTACACTTTGAATTATTTGAGGGAATTTCTTGAAGAATGATATATTATTTCCAGAGGATACTTATATGTGCGACTTGACGGCACAATGTCTATCAAGAAAAGAGCCAAGGTTGTGGAAAATTTCAACAATCCAGAATCGAAAGAGTTCATTTTCATGTTGAGTTCCAAAGCTGGAGGTTGCGGATTGAATCTAATCGGGGCCAACCGGTTGATAATGTTCGATCCCGATTGGAATCCTGCCAATGACGATCAGGCTATGGCGAGAGTGTGGAGAGATGGCCAACAGAAGCCTTGTTATATTTATAGGTTTTTGGCGGTAAGTTCAAATTGAATGATTTCTTGGAAAATTAGTTGAAAGGTTGTTGTGTATCTAATTCTAAATCGGATTTCAGGCGGGCTCCATCGAAGAAAAAATCTTTCAGCGCCAAGCGCATAAGAAAGCTCTCAGCTCGACGGTAGTCGACATGAACGAGGAGACGGCACGTCATTTTAGCGTAGCCGAACTGCGGGATCTGTTCCGCTTGGAAAACACAGAATCCGACACACACCAGAAGCTCAAGTGCAAACGGTGCCTCA